AGGCTGTTTATATCTGTGGGTTTGGTAGCATGTGATGGGTGAGAGTTAGGAGGTAAGCGAAGTGGTGCAGGCACAACCATCACATTTGCATGGGGCAGAAGATCTTTGGGGAGATACTTCCAAGTACAGCTTCTTGACTTACAGCTCCAGAGAAGTGAGCTAGGGGTGTTGGTGCCTCCTCTATAAGTCTGCAAAGGTTCAGGCATGATCATTGTCCAGGTCTTGCGGCCCAGCCAGACTGAGGTCATGATGGTTTAGTAATCCAAAATGATTACAGGGTCAGCAGACCCTTACTTGATCAAAGCTCTCAGCGGACCCAGTATGGACATCCATACTTTATTTTCACTTTTTTTAATTCATGTGAGTTTCCTTTGCCTAGAGCATGTATGTTGTATAATATAACACTCAAAATCTGAGGATTTGTTTCTTCAACTCAAATGCTATTCCTAACTCCTTTTAAAACCCTTCCCTCAATCCTTTCCTTATACAAACAAAGGGCAAAACCTGCAAAAAGGTACAAGAAATAAAGCCAATAGTATCTGGTCCTTGCACTCTGGAAAGGTCCCACTGGACATATAGAAACACTCCATGGTCCATCCTTGGGTGGCAGCAAGGCCACTTGTTGGGAGAAAGACAGAGAAGCCCAAATGGGTCAGCACGAGGGATGAGACCACCTTGGTTGGGATGGGAATAGGGCACTCAGAGGCTCAGGTTCTCAAGCGGATTTGGTGCCCAATGTCCATTTGGAAATCTTGGCAGAGTTTGTGGTTCAGTGCAGTTACAGGAGGGAGGTTGCTTCTGTAAGTCCCGACTGAGGGCACTGCCTCTGTGTGGGCACATGTGAAGGAAGGGGGGGTCACTCCTTCTCCTTGTGTTTGATCACCTGGAGGTGGGTCATCTCTAACAGTTCCATCATATCAGACATGAAAACTGCCATTAAGGCACAAGGAGGAAAATGCAACTAGTTAAGTATCTCAAAGAAAACCTCCAACAGAAGAAAGCATGAAGCTGTAACATGAAAGGGAACTTTAGAAAAGAAAATCTAACAACATTAATCCTCTTAACATTATAGAGAAATAAAGATCAAAAAGGGTAGTGGATTTGAAATAAGTCCTAAAAGACCACATTGGGCTGGAGCTGCAGGGACTGTTCGGGCCGTATGTTGAGCAGAAGCAGGATGTTTCTGGTACATCTACAGCAAGCTCAGAGGAAACTGCCCTCCATCTGGCATGTCTGTCTTTCAACGCGCCCAAATACATCCACACCCACTGGAAAATTGTAGGTAGAGGTTCACTCTAGAGCTCACTGGAAAGAGATGCTGAACTCCTCCTCCAGAGGCCAGAATATACAGTCTGCCTAAAGGCAAAACATGGACCTGTTTCTTGAGTTCCAGGAGCAGACAGCATCTACCTACGTCAGTGCACAGCAGTGATTTACAGGGTCTGCGATGAGGAGGAGCTGTCTGCTGGGGCTGGGTTGGGAAGTCCGCCCCCAGCCTTCAGACCTCAGTGACAGTCCCTTGAAACGACACAGCAGCCCAAAGGCTTTGGATTTTTTTCTTTTTTTTCATGGGAAGTCAGGAGCTATTTTTATACCCTAGTAACGGCCTTCGGACTGTCAGTAAAACGTGGGAGGTTTCATAGTAAATGTTTTGCCTGACATTTTCTCAGAACTAGCGGGAAGTAATAAGTGCATAATTAGAGAGGCTGTGTTGAAAAGACCTGCAAATGTCTATAGATCTATGTAGAGTGCAAAGGGTGCTTTTTTTTTTCCTAATTGACCTTAGTGAAGGTGAAGCTCATCGTGTTTTATAGAAATGTAAGATGATTTCATAGACATGACTCAAAGTGTACACCAGCAGAAGAACCAAATTGCTGATTCTCAGTAATTTTTTCTCCTCTCTTCTGCCATTCCCTGTAGCAATGACCTCTTCTGACCTTTTTGGATAAATAAGAGCACCTTCTGTGGTGTATCCCTGGAAAAGAGCACCTTTGGTGGTGTATCCCTTGGTTCTGGGGAGGATGGGCTGTCTTTGCCTGAGAAACGTCCACGTTCGCAATTCCCTTGGAAGCTGCGAGGTGGGATGGGTAATCTGTATTCAGGCAGCTTTTACCCCCTCAAAAAATAGTATGTGTCTAATC